TGTATTCACTCCAGTTTTCTTGAATTCACAAGCAGTGACATACTCAGTTTAAGAGTGCTTCTAGTTAGTTTATTAGATAAGTACCCAAACTGGTAAGAAATATTTCAACCTCAAGTTAAAATGAAAACAACTGTATCTTCAGTAGAAATTTTCTACAAAATTGTATCCCTCTTAATTACTTTTCTTCGCAATAAGAAAAGGAAAGGAACGATTGGAAGTGGTGAGTCTGGCCCGTTGTAACTGGCTGGAGGGTGGGATCCCATCTGCCCAACTTTTGTCTGGGAACATTTAATCAGCTTTGCTGTCAAAGAAGAGAAATGCTTGCATGTCAAGAAAAACACTTTGTTAGATAAACCTCCCATCAGGTGATGGTAGGCCCTGTGTGAAAAGTGAGGGGAATGCCTGCGTATGATTGGAATACAAAGGGACAGATTTACTAGGCTCTGTGGGACTTTCCCCTAAACTTCCTGATTCAGCGAGCAGTGCAGGAGCAGGTACAGTGTTACATGCTGTGCTACGGTGAGACCAGCAGATTTAATGATGCTCTGCTTCTGGGTCGTAATTCTCTGGTAATCGTGAGAATTCCAAACCTGCAGCACCTCTTTGTCTTCCCCAGGACAAAGGCATCCCTTTCTTAAGGTGGATTTTTGGTTATTGGTAGTGGTTTGGTGTGTGCTTTGTTTGTTTGTTTGATTTGATTTAGTGTTAGTCTCCAAAAGAGAGGGGAAAAAAGAGATAAGCAAGTGTGGAAGTATGAATGAGGTAGAGAAAAGTATTAACTAGACCAGCCGTGGGCAAACTATGGCCCGCGGGCCGGATCCGGCCCGTTTGAAATGAATAAAACTAAAAAAAAAAGTCCATACCCTTTTATGTAATGATGCTTACTTTGAATTTATATTAGTTCACACAAACACTCCATCCATGCTTTTGTTCCGGCCCTCCGGTCCAGTTTAAGAACCCATTGTGGCCCTCGAGTCAAAAAGTTTGCCCACCCCTGGTCTAGACCCTTTCCTTACTAGAAATCCTCTAAGTTTTATGTGTTGGCAGGAGGCTGAACACTGAAACGGGCTTTGGTGTTCAGCCGCTGGCTCTGAGGCCTAGCCGGCTGCCTGTGTGTGGGGTGCTTCGTGGGGGTGCTTCATCCGTGTCTCCGTCCCTGCCACCTGCACTGATCCGCTGAGGGCACCGCACTGGCTCTTTCACAGGCACAGTCAGGGCCTGGAGGGAGTCCTGGACTGGGTGCCTCAAAGGACATGAACTGCTTCTTGTTTTCTGAGTTCTCATTACCCTAATTCACCCCCCAGCCCCTTGCCAAGTTTATTGAAGGGAAATTGATAGAAAAACTTTCTGACAAAATCGTCTTTAGGTGTACAACGTGACGATTTGATATCTATGCACATTGTGAAATGATTACCACAATGAAGTTAATGAGCACCTCCATCACCTCACCTAGTAACCTTTATCTTGTGGTGAGAACACTTGAAATCTGCTCGTTTAGCAAATTTCAAGTACATAATACAGTATTATTAACTATAATCATCACGCTATGCATCAGATCGCCAGAACTTACTTATCTTATAACTGAGAGTTTGTGCCCTTTGAGCAGCATCTCCCCATTTCCTCCACCCCCAGCCCCTGGTGACGCTGTTCTGCTCTCTGCTTCCGTGATTTTGACTTTTTGAGAATCCACACGTAAGTGAGATCATACTGTATTTGCCTTTCTCCTTCTGACTTATTTCACTTAGAGTCATGCCCTCAGGCCCATTCAGGTTGTCTCAAATGGCAGGATTTCTTTCTCTATTGTGGCTGAATAATAATATTCTACACATATATACCAAGAAAACATACCACATTTTAAAAATTCATTCACCTGGGTTGTTTCCATATCTTGGCTAATGTGCATAATGCTGCAGTGAACATGGGAGTGCCGATAGCTCTTGGAAATAATGATTTCATTTCCTTAAAATTTATACCCAGATGTAAGATTGCAGTATCGGATCCTGTTGTTAATTTGAGGAACCTCTATCCTGTTTCTCATAGTGATTGCACCAATTTACATCCCCCCCCAACAGTGCACAAGGGTTTCTTTTTCTCCACATCCTTGCCAACATTTATCGGTGTAAAGTAATAGCTCATTGCGATATTGATTTGCATTTTCCTGATAATTAGCGATGGTGAGCACCTTTTCATGTACCTGTTGGCCATTTGTATGTCTTCTTCAGAAAATGTGTATTCAGATCCTTTGCCCATTTTCTAATTGCATTGTTTTTTTTTTGGCTATTGAGTTGTATAAGTTTCTTATATATTTTGGATAGTAACTTCTTATTAGATGCCAATTTGCAAATTTTTTCTCTTACTCTTTAGGTTGCCTTTTCATCTTGTTGTTTCTTTTTGCTGTACAAAAGCTTTTTTACTTCCAAATTTAAAGCAGTTGAAAATGTCCCTCAAGTGACCTCACCCCTTCTGCGACCTTGAACTAGGCCTTGCTTCCTCATTTGTCTGTGCCTGGAATGAGACAAGATCAGTGGCTTTTCAGTTGTTTAAAACTCTGGAACCTTTTACCCAGTTGAAATTTTGTAAAAATATTTTAATAAAAGCAGTTTTACAAAATTAAACCTATTCTCATTTAGGTATGGATGAGGAACCCAGAGTACCCCTGACCCCACTCAAATCCCCTCCATCTGTTGCAACTCCAACAGGCCTGGGGGGCCATCTTTAGTCCAGCCCCAGGACAGGCTGGCTGAGGCAGGAAGTAACACTATGCCAAGGCCTGGAAATGAAGGTCAGTCCTGAATTCTGGAGATAGCATATCTTAAAAGTTTTAAGTCAACCAACATGGTTTACTCCATCATAACTTTGTAAGCACCAATCATCCTTCTCTTTTATATGCCCTGTTCCTTATAACCAGAGTACTTTTAGCTTTGCTATTGCACAGTGATGTGCAAATGAATGTGGGTGATGGATTCTGTAAAGCATACCCACCTCAACATTCCAGAGCTATGCCAGGCCCTCTGCCACCCTTCCCGGATTTCAGAAACCCAAACTCTTTGCCCCCCACCTCTAACCCCTCTGCTACATGAATACCATATCAATTTTTTTAACCTCTGTATTGATCATGTCAGCCTCCTTCAAAAAAATAGCCTCATTGTTTGAAAGATCAAAACTCAACTCCAGACTCCAACTTGCTGGAAGTCCCATGATTATTTTTCTATCAGATTCCATCTCCAACTTCCTTGTAATATACATCCCTTTTCTGTAAGTCATTCTCTCCCGAAGCCTGTGATCGTGCTCTTGGTCCATCTCTTTATCGTCCTTTCCTCATGAAGAGCCTGTCTCCTTCAGAGCTCACCCTTCAAGTCCTTTCATGCTCCCTTGCCTCCCTCCTCTGGCACTCAGCAAGGAGGCAGAATGATGTTGAACAGGGATACAGCACCAGTACCACTAACTTGGAGTTCTGCCACTTATTTGCAAAGCACCATTGGCTAAGCCCCTTTACTTCTATGGGTCACAGTTTCCTCATCTGTAAAATGGGGCTAATAATATAATATCTCTCTTGTCTGCCTCACTGTGTGACTGTAGGAATCAAAAGCAATACTATGTGTGAACACCCTTTATCTAACTTAAGCACTCTTTATTTTTCAGGTCTTGTTCTTAAATAATGAGGTATTATTGTGAGTTATTCCTATCACTTATTGTGCCCTATAGCACTTGTTTTAATTATGAATCACCCTCTGCCCTGTACTCCTTGCCTTATTATATGCATTATATCTACTCTCACCAGATCTTTAATTTATTCTGGTGATAATCTGGGGAAAGTCTCAGCCAGCATGCTTCTTCCTTTTTTGTGTTTTTAAGAATAAACCTTTTTTCCCCCGAGGTATTTCCTCTACTTGGCCAAACTAAATGTGTGTAGATTTGTTCTTTGCAGATTTGCTTATTTCTGGAAGCCTCCCTACCTGGTTTCAGCATAAATACTATGCTTTATTATATACTACTAGCTATAGACTTTTTTAAGAAAAGTAAAGGCAGTAGATAGAGTTAGTAATGCTTTGTAATCCATTGTCCCCATACCAGTGGCCACATGTGTGCCTTCGTACATGGACTGCCTTCATCACTGTAGTCAAATCATTGTAGGTCATAGACCGTATCTTCTTAAGTTTTTATTTCTAGTTTCTCACATAGCGAATAGGAGATGTTCAAGAATGCTCATTAAAGGAGTAACCAATATATGCATTTTCTATGTAAAAAGTTGATTTGATTAATACTTTCTCAGCTAAGAAAACTCCCAAAGATAAAGTTGGATTGATGATGCCAAAACATGACACTTCCAATCCAGTGCTCAATGTAATCACCCACACAAAAGGAAGCCAAATTCGTGGACTGCACTACGGGGCCAGGCCGTAGCTGTGGAATGTGGCCAGTTTCCTTGGATCTGTCCTGCAGGCCCTGGTGAACCCAGACACAAAGGAGTTCTCGTGACAGCTCTCTCACACCCCTGCCTCCTGAGCTGCCATTGCCAGAATGTATAGAAAGTTCATCAAAAGCCTAAGCAGGGGTGGCAGTATTTTAATATACAAACACCTAGTAGGCTTCATCAAGGCATTAAATTCCGGAGGTTCTGGAATTTTCCTGGAAGGATTTCATAACCAAATCAAGCTTGTTAAAATATTAATTATTGCTGCTACTACTACTGCTGTTATACTGGTAGAAACTCCTGATTTATAGTCAGTTTGATGCTTTGCTACTGTATTTCAACCTCTGTCTCTTTCTTTCTCTTTCTCATACAGACTGGCCACCTTTAACTATTTTGAGTTAATGGTAAAATATGTGCTGAGTACTAGCCAGTCTTTTCAGCATTCTCATTTAAGTGTGGTAGATGATATGCACATTCCCTACGCAAGCATTTTTCTTCTTCTTATTAAATAAACCCATTGTCCCATAAAGTGCTCCTTAAAAGAAAATGTGCCTTTAGTTTCACACCCCCTTTCTTCATTCCACAGCATTCAGCAAACATTTGGGCCCCTGCTCTGAGCCAAGCTCACTGCTAGAAATGAAAGACTACACCTGCCTTCAGGGACTGTGCATAGGGACAGGGAGGCAGCCAGACCCCTCCTTCTGCACCCACATTCTTCTTCCCACTGAAGAATCTGATGTGGTCTGAGTGGTGGCCTGGGCTTCGGGGGGCACTCAGGCATTAAAGGCAAGCTTTTTCTTTAGTGGACTGATGAATGAGATCGAGAAGAACCATTGGGGTCTGAAGCTCCAGACTCGAACAACCTCACATAGACCTGGAAACAGAGCAGCGGTGATTGCCACCTGCTGACACACCACCCAGACCGCCCAGGGACTGGAGCAGTGTTCTAGGCCGGCCGGGCCTCCCACCCGCAGAGCCCGGAAAATATCCCTGATTAGAGCAATTAGAGCGACTCCCTGAGCCGGTTCAGAATTTGCTTAATCGCACTCACTTCACTGAACTCAGGTTTTGGCTTCGGGGGTTTTAGGAAAAGAAAAAAAAAAAAAAAAAGCAAGTTTAGGGAAAGGAAGCAATTAGAGAGAGAGCATTCAAATTGATTCTCTTCTCTAGTCAGTTCAGAGTTGGCAGAAGAGAAGGCAAATGCTATCCATGACCAGGTGTAAGTAGAAGGAGGCTGATTTTGGAAGATGGGTCCTTGGAGCCTTGTTTGGATGAGAATCCCTGAGATCACAAAAGGAAGCAGCTGGTAAGTTCCGGAAACCTTTTTTGTGAAAGCCCAGAATTTGAATAATGCACTAAATGAAGTGGAGTGCATATATTTAAATATTTATGGACAAATGGCTGTCATTTCTTAGCCTGCTCTGCCATGGTCCCATGACTTGGTACAATTGCTTTTAAATGATCATTTTCTAGATACTAGAAAAGCATCAAACAGAAGGAGATGAGAATTGCAGCAAACCAAACAAAGAAAAAGCAGAGGAGGCGATTATCAACAAAATACAGCCATCATAGCCAGCTATATTTAAGGAGTTTTGAAAGCAGTGTAGTGTAGCAAGTAAGATGGATGAGTTTGGAACTGGACCGGAATTTAAATTCTATGCGTGATTTACTAGCTTTGTAGCCTTGGGTAAGTTACTCATTTTCTCTTGAAACCTCAATTCCTCATCTGTTTAGGGAGGATAATAATAGTACCCACATCACAGGGGTGTGGTGAGAATTAAATGAATTATTGGTTCTAGGTGCCTGACACCCATAAGCTCTACCAGAGATCTGACACCCAGATCTCCAAGCTCAGGAAATTTGTTTTAGGGGCTGAGACTACGGCAGGGAACAAAAAGATACCTGGTGCATGGTAGGTGCTCCATAAATACTGGCTGAATAACTGAATGAATGAGTGAATGTGTTTAGTCCAGTTACAGTGTATAAATTGGATTATTTTATGAAATAAATTTAAAATGTTCATTTTAAACGAGGTAAGGTATACGGAAAGACATACTGGGTGAAAATTTTGAGTGTGGCAAAGGCATATTTTTCAAATAAGTAGCCAGGAAAATGTTTGTCCTCTTATTTCTCATCAGGGACACAGTTTGGTTCCACTTGCTTCTCTGTGATCCAACGAATTGGGGGAGCCTTTTTCTAACGTTCTCCACAGCCTCCTCCTTTGCTCTCCTGAGCATAATGTTAAGAAGAGACGCTGTAGGAGACAGACAGGCATATATTTACACTATCGATTATAAACACTGTTTTCTGCCATTTCCTTCCACATCATGACAGCTTAATTTCCGCCTCGTGACAGAAAGTAGGGGCTCGGAGGTTCCAGGTCCCAGAGTCTAACTGCATCGTTGTCCTCCCATTTGTAAGCAGGCCCCACCGAGGTCTCTTCTCAATGCTTTGGCCAAACTGAGTGCTGTTGGCTCTGCCCTGGGCTGTGGGCAGCGTCTCCCTCTGCTCCCGGTGATCCAAGTCCTGGCACTGAGGGCAGGGAAGGGAGTTGACGTTCTCTGCCTAGCCCTAGCCCCAAGTCATTTATCAGACACGATGATGAGCAAAATGCTGCCATTGGAGGAAGATGTACAAATTTGCCAAGGAAAGGAATGCAGTTCTGGGACCTCCTCGCTACAGGATTATGTGAATCATTCAACAAAAGTGAAGTCAAAGTTATGAAAGTCAATTTCCATTTGTACCACAGCTAATTAGTCTAAGGAAAATGGTGACGGGATATTCGGCAACTTCTCAGGAGGTAGCCCTGGAAGGCAGGTCCAAAGGGATAGTTTTAAACATGCCTCTAAGGCAGCAGTTCTCAACCTGTGGGTCGTGACCCTGTTGGGGGTCGAATGACTCTTTCACAGGGGTCGCCTATGACCATTGGAAAACACGTATATAATTACATATTGTTTTTGTGATTAATCACTATGCTTTAATTATGTTCAATTTGTAACAATGAAATTGGGGGTCACCACAACATGAGGAACTGTATTAAAGGGCCACGGCATTAGGAAGGTTGAGAACCACTGCTCTAAGGTGTTACATGCAGGCAGCGAATAGTTCTTGGTTTGTATCCGACATTATTCTTTTTTTTTTTTTTTTGAGGTACACACGTTTTATTCACCTAAATAAAACATTTCCCCGATTCCCGGAACCATCCAGCACTAACTGTACAATAGTTTCGTTTTATCATGATCATATCCTACCATCTCATGCGCTCAGAGATCCCCCTAAGGAAGTATCCGACATTATCCTAAGTGCTTGAGACTTATTAACTCACTCACATGATGTCATTATTTTTTATTATTACCTTTTTACAATGAGGAAACTGAGGCAAAGAGAAGTTAAATAATATATTCAACTTTTAATGATGATTCTAATGTAAGGAAACTGAAGTGTGGGAAAATATAGAGCTCATTCACTCAGCTGACGAGCAGGAATTCCCCCCTCACTGTATGTGCACAAGGACCATTGCATCTTTTCCTCTGGGTGTGGGTTCCAGCCCCTTTTCACAGATGAGGCCTTCCTGCCAGGGGTTAGAGAGAGACGTTCCAGCTGCTGCCTCTTGCCATCTTGAAAGCCTGAAATTTGGGATGTCAGGACCTCAAATGGAGTCCCAGGAGAGGTTGAGTTATTTCTCATGTTTTGAAAAGCCTAACATAAATTGCTTATTTAGGGGCAATAAAACGATGTGGTTAATGAGTACATAAAAATGATTTTCTTTGCATTTGTTAAAGTTGTATATATATTATGCTAATGTAATAATTTAATTATTTCGTGTGGACCAGACACTTTTCATGGCAATTATTTATTCTTAATTTTTGTAATAAGTATTTTCTACCTACAGTTTAAAATATTTTTTTAATTTATTGATTTTAGAGAAAGAGAGGAAGACAGAGAGAGAGAGAGATATTGAGATTGAGATTTGCTGTTCTACTCATTTATACATTCACTAGAAATTTGTGCACGGGTGGGGTCCCTTCCTGCGGTTGGCCCACTGGCCCCGCCCTTGCTTGAAATCCTGGTCGAACTCCTGGTCCAGGGACAATTTGCATATTAGGCTTTTATATAGGACTAGAGGCCCGATGCACAAAATTCATGCATGAGGGGGGAGGGAGAGGGTTCCTAAGCACAGTCTGCACCCTTTTCATTCCGGGATCCCTTGGGGGATGTCCAACTGCCTAAATCGGCAGTCAGACATCTCTCTCACAATCTAGTACTGATGGCTCCTAACTGCTCACCAGCCTGCTGGCCTGGTCACCCCTAACCCCTCCCACCCCCCTGCCAGCCTGGTTGCCCTCAACTGTCCCCCTGCCAGCCTGGTCGCCCCTGACTGCCCACCCCTGCTGGCCTGGTCACCCCCAACTGCACCCCCTGACGGCCTGGTCACCCCATGTAGCCTACTGTTCAGTCATTTGGTTGTCCCTCACTAACCCTCCTGCCGGCCATGTTGCCCCATGCAGCTTGCTGTTCAGTTGTCCATCCAGTTGTTTCGGTTGTGATGGCCCTTGGCTTTTTATATATTAGGATTGGTTGCTTCTTGTATGGGCCCTGACCAGAGGTCAAACCCTCAGCCTTAGCGTAATGGGACAATGTTCTAACCAACTGAGCTACCTGGCCAGGGCTCTATACAGTTCAGATAAATTCTTCTAAACATGGAATGTGGGGTTTGGAGTGGGGGCAAGATAGAGATGAGCCTTTAGGATGAAAAATTTAGCACCTAGTGGTCTAGATCCGTGGTCGGCAAACTGCGGCTCGCGAGCCACATGTGGCTCTTCCATAAAATACCATGTGCAGGCGCGCATGTACAGTACGATTGCAACTTTATGGCCCATGTACAGAAGTCAGTATTTTGTGGAAGAGCCACACTCAAGGGGCCAAAGAGCCACATGTGGCTATTGAGCTGCAGTTTGCCGAGCCACAGTTTGCCGACCACTGGTCTAGATTAAGAGAGATGTGTTGCTTATAGTCAACAATTACTATATACTCAAATGGATATAACACTGAGAAGCTCCCGTTACCATATAACAAATTGCTGTGTGTATTTGAGTATTTCTGGACTTTCTACTCTGTTCCATTTGTCTGTCTATTTATCTGCTAGTATTATACTGTTTTCATGACTGGAGCATTAGGGAATGCTTTACTGTCTATCAGGACGAGTCATCCCCAAATGCAATAGTAAGTCATCTGCTCCAATTCATGCTATATTAAAATGGCAGTCAATGAGAATTTATAATCCAGCCCCTATTTCAGTAATAGGCCTGTTGACTTAGAAATATCAACAAGGAATGGAAGCTGAAAGTGTGAAAGTGAATGTGGTTCCTAGGGAAAGTAATGATAATAACACACACTATAGGAAAATAAATAGTAATATAAAAACCTGAGACCCGAGGCAGGTCCTAATCTAGGAGGCAGGGGGAGGAAGAGAAACCAGCAAAAGAAAAAGGACGTGTAGGTGGGTGAAGGTTGCTTCTCCCTTGGAAACAGCCAGTCCTAGTTCTGTTTGGCAAAGTCAGAAAGGCCGACGGTAGAGAAGGTTGTAGTATTTGCTGTGTGCATGCCATGGGAACTCACGTTATGAGATGTGTGAAGTATGTCGAGGAGGCTGTGTGTCATGCTGCTCTGGGCAGTTCGCAGGCCAGGACAGGCAGTAACCATGAACGCCGAGGCTGCCCGTGCACTGGCTTGTGTCTCCGAAGATGTGAGAGTGAACCTCACCACGTGTTTCCCAGGAAGATGGATGGATATGCATGATTCTCACCCCTCTTTCCAGAAGACAGCACTAAATCTACATAAGGCGATGTCTTTACTGGAGAGATGACTTCTAACACAAGTGATTGCGGGAAAGACATCTAAAGTATTTAGCAGGGGCAAATCATAATACTTTTCCCCTCTGAAATGCACAGACCTGCTGGACTAGGAAAGACATCTAAAGTATTTAGCAAATCATAATACTTTTTCCCCTCTGAAATGCACAGACCTGCTGGACTCAGTCTGCAACTTTACAAACAGGCCAGAGGACGATGGTCAGAGCAGGAGGGAAGGGCCTGGGTTCCGGGGTGGGCGGAGAGGCTGGACCCGGTTTACTGCATTATGACCTCATTCCCCGGCAGACACCCTTCATAACCTTTGGCACAGCCTGTAACCTGCTCATCCCCAATTTCGTCCTTACAACCTGCAGCGAGCTCCCTGCACTTACCTCACAGGGATGTGGGGAAGATTAATTTGTTTCAGATGGGAAAGTTCTTTGAAGATGAGTCA